AATTTGCAAGGCTATAAAGTTTGTTATGAAGTTCCAGCTATTAAAAAAAAAAAGGGTGGTGTAAAGAGGTTTAAGAGTTAAATGCAGCAGCTCAGTCTTAGAGAGCAAGTGATGAGACTGTGGTGACAAATCCAAAAGGTGAGCCAAGTGAGATGGAGAGAAAAGAGATATTAGATGGGCAAAAACTGAGAGATGTGTGTAGGTATCACTTATACTAAAGAGTAGCTGAAACCAGCGGACTGGGTGGGAAGCAGAAGAGGTGTAAGAATGACACTTGTAAAGATAAAAGTTCCGGAATACTAACAGAATAGTTTTGGCTTAGTAACTATGAACGGGAGAAATAATCCAGTGAAATTTTATTTTTTTCTTTAACTGATTAGAATTACTGAGATGTAGTTTGTAGTTCTTCCAAGTGTAGTTATCAAAAAATCTTAAACCAGAAATACTTCAGAAGCACTTTGTTGATCATATTTGACAGTTTCCTGTACTAAACTCAGCTGATTAATTAGAATTGTCATATGGCATTACTTTTGCCTGAATGCATAAATATATATCAATTACTTTAAGACTGACTTTACATGAATATTCAGTAGCATGCATTTGAAAAAAAAAATCTTCTGGCAAGTATTGCAATTTAAAAAAATCAACCTTGTCATACCCACACGTATATAAAATCCTTCCAGATCTCTAACCATGCTGTGTTCATTTCATACTTGATTTCTGTATCTCCTTAAGTTACAGCTCACTATGAAAATTAGTGCAAGCCCACATCTCCTTTGAGGAGCATGGACACATGTATCTGCAGATTTTCAAACCAGGGTATTCTAGGGTATTCCTTTGCATAAATTTTCCCTAATTGACAAAGAAATTTGGGAAAAAATCCCTACCCCTCCAAAACCATACCTAAATCCCACAAAAAAATCCCAACCAAACCCCACCCCGCCACAAATGGTTCCAGTTCAGGCTTGCTCAGATTCCAGGGATATAAACATTCACAACAGTTCTAAAAAAAAGTGAGCAGTGATATGAGTTTCAGTAGCAACTGATAGGAGAGATCGGTTAAAATTGATTGTTCCCCTGTCAAAATATCAAGGAACTGGCCAATACATTCTGCAAAGTTGTCAGAGCAGATGATGTAACTGAAAAGTGCAGCTATACATTACTTAGCAGCTTCCTTTGCTGACACTAGGAAGTCATCTGCTTCATCTGTGCTGTGACCTGTTGGGGGCACTCAGGTATGGCAGCAGATTACTTGCTCTTGTGTTATTTGTTTTCCCTTCCAGACTTCAGATGTAGCTGCTATTTTATTAATGCATCACAATATTCAATTTAAACGATTAAACAAGATATTTGTTATCACTTTGGGGACAGGAGGGAAGTTTCTCATAGAGTCATGAGGAAGACTCCATAACAGTTCACTGCAAGTCCTCTTGCTATGCTGGTACATTGTGGTGTTTATGCTTGGTGTGTTTTCTTTGCTGTCTCTGGCATTGGCTTGTAGAATTACCTGCCTTCCACTGTATTTGAACAGAGCCCATATTTGGTGCATTTTTAGCATATATTTGTAAGCAGCTTGTACTATCACCACCTGTAGAAACATTTACTTGCAGAGACAGGCAGCCTGACAGGGCAAAGGCTACTGCAGGAGACTTTCTTACATTGTGCTATTTTCCAACAGCTCCTCATTTACTGAATCCTTCAATCCAATTCTGGCTGTATCTCAGCTATTTAAGAAATGGAAGAGTTAGCAACGAGATTGGGCTGCACCCATTAAGCTAGAGGAAATAGATGGATTATGAAAAGTGACAACAAATTGCAAGAGAAAGCTCAGCAGAGCTTTGGGCATTTAGAAAGCTTCAGGCTTCACCCTTCACCTGGGACCCCAGGTGCAGGAGACTTTTTTTGTCTTGTTCAAACCTCTGTGAACTGGGCAAGTCTGTGACAAGAGGGTTCAAAAGAAACCAGACAAAGCTGCTTCTGGAGACTCTTCCTGGGTCAGGCTCTCCGGCACCTTCTCAGAATCAAGTATCAAGTAGGACAGCAATCTGTGGCTGTATTTGTTTTTCATTTTCAGCCAATTACTCTGGAAGCTGGTTTTGTGTGGTAGGTTAGGTACCCACAATGCATATCATGTACCTGGGAAGCTTGAACTCTTCTATTTCAGCATGCAGATTATGATTTTGTCTTTCCATAAAGTCCAAAATTGATTCCCTCTTTAAAAACTATCTTATTGCCATCAGCTAAACCTTAAGAGATAGACTTTCCACCTAGAATAAATTTCCCATAATGTATGTTCCTAACAGAACAGAAGACAAGGAAATTTTACATGTACAGGAAACTACCAAGAAGTCTGATTATTTGAACAAGAGCCTTATTATTATACAACTCCTTTAGGAAACTATTATTCATCAACTATTCACACTCCTATTTCTCAGCATTAGTTTTTCATTAATGCTTACATTTATATAAAGATATTTCAGATAGTCAGGCAGACGTGTTTTCAAGAGGTTTGATCCTTAAAGCCACTCAAAACCTTTCTTTCCTAATGACATCAACAAATGTTACATAAGGTAAGTATTTACATTTATATGAGCATATATAGGGTCAGTTTATTTATATTTTTATTTACAGGAAACAAATGCTAAGTGAAGAAAACAGTGACACCAGGTTTTTTTTGCTTGAACTCGGAGGAATGGGAGATATGCAACAAAGGAATCATGCTGGTGCTGGTGGAGTGGTGGAATGGAAAGAGGCTTGGAATATTTTGTCTTTTACTTCTGAGAAGTATAATAGGATCTAAAGTCTGCAAGTGATTTGTAAACAAATAATAGATGCTTTTCTAGGCAATATATTGCAGTTTAAACAAGAATTAATCCAAAAAAGTCATGTAATGTGTATTGTAAAGTAGATCAGAACAGATTATCACAACAGTCCATTCTGCTTTTATAATCTAGCCTTAAATACATAAGCACTTTAAAAATAAATCAAGATTGGATATGAAGCAGGAACATGTCCCTGTTTCTCTTTGGCTATTGCTTGGAATGGAAGAAAATATATGATGGTTTATAATACTAAAACTGTAAGAAGTCTGAATAAAACAATCTTATAATTTAATGTCAATTTTTTCTATGTAGTAGGCATAACAAAAAGAAACATTTTAGATATTTTAAAAATGCAAATATCCAACAAAATAAATAGAAGAAATAAATAGATAGTTATATGAATAAGGACTTTGCCTACAATTCCTTTATTTCTTCATTTAGATGTATTTTTTTTTTTCTCTTGGTTTTGCACCAATTTCCTGACTATCAAAGTGTGTGCTAACTTCAAAAAAGAGCTACTGTGGTCTTCAGTAGACTCGTGATAACGATGCTTTTGTAGGGACAGAATATATTTGCAACAATCCTTATAAATGTATGGGCTAATGGAATAATTCAAGCCTCATGACAATGACCACTATTTGCAAAGAAAGTCCATCAGTTAAATATTGCTCTGTCAGTGATCATTAGTCAGGCTAAGGTCCACAGCTCCATTCTAGGGTTTTTAGGGGAGCTGTCCGGTCTCTCTGATTCACTACTCTCTCTCATACTTGCAGCTTTTTGGTTTAGCTGTTCCTTACTTTTCCTCCAAATTTCTCCTTTTGTCCAACTCTTCCTAGATTGCTTAGCTTTACCTCTTCACACAACTTAAGTGCAGATCTTCCTTTATTTACCAGTCTCTTCCACAAGCTTCGGTATCGGGTCTTTCCCTTCCAGCCCTTGGTCCAGGATCCTTGTCCAGACCCTTGTTTCTAGTCCCAAACCCTTCCATGAACCACCCCCATCTCTTCATTCTACCCAAGCTTCATCTCACTCTGCCCTCTTTTTGTCAGGTAGCTCTAATCAGTCTCTTGACCTCATTGATCCTGGTCATAATTTAATTTATTTTCTCTTCCTAAATCCTCAATCTCATAATATTCCTGCTTCCAGTATCTCTTGCAAAGGCAAAGCTGAGTGCCTGAGAAACATGACTTGTGACTCTATAACAGCTGAAGTGGGGGGCTGGTGGAGGAAAATTGGAAGTCTAGAAATTGTAAGAGCAGCCACAATTGTAATAAAAGTAATAAATTGTAATAAAAAAAGGGAGAGTGACAGGGAAAGGAGAAGCAACAGGATGTTCTTGACAATACAATCTAATTTAAAAATTATGAAACAAGTCTCTGAATTAACATCTCAGGAGTTGCTCCTACCTCTGTCACAGTCCTCATACAACCTTGTGCAAGTCCCTTAGTACCAGGTTCATTAAAAGATGTGGATAGTGTCATGTACAACACACTAATGCTGGGCTTTCAGCCCCTTGGTCCCTAGCATCTGCAGCTCTGTGTCATGCAGTCAGGCTTTGTAACCATTACCTTAGGAAGGATACTTCAGAAAAAAAGACAACTTGAATTTCAGAAGACTAGAGTGTATGAAAATTCAACTTGTCTCTCAAAATTTAAGGCCATTTCTCAATACCTCTGTATGTTAGTTTCATTACTGACAAAATAATAACTGACCTTCTTGTGAGTGTTGTATAGCATACTTCATTTATGCTTTCCTAAGGTCCCTCTACAGAAATAGTTTTCTGAGTGCAAAGCACAGCTATAACTATGAGAAACAGTTTTAAAAGAGAAAAAAGGACACACAAAGGGAGGGATAATATCATGAGTAGCTGTAAGCACCAATCTCATAGTCAGATTGTTTGTCTGTCTGCTGCTTTAGAGAGTCTATTTACTGCTGTAGTCAAAAGCTGAAAAACTGGTGGCAGGTAGCAGATGTACCAATTAATAACCTGTCAAGGCTGACGGACAGAATGAAAAAAACCCCAGCTCTCACATATAACTCCTGTGTAGTTTTTTTCCCCACATTTCAGGTCTTTGGGGGTCATGAGACACACTCTGTTTTCCTGGAGAGAGATGAAACTGTCTCATTAGCATCTCTCTTTCATGACATTAAGACGCTGCCTTTGAGATGTGAACTCACCTGTTCTTCTCCCAGAATCCTGAAGTGATGAAGTTCTTTAATCAAGGAGTCTGGACAGCCAGCTGTTGGAAAGAAACAAAAATGGGCGTTTTAGATCTTCCTGTCAGTGCAGTTTCAGCATAAAACACATAGGTGCAGAGATAGAATATACAGATTACCTTAAAGAAGATTAGAAAGATTAGCCATGGCTCTGCAGGCACCAGAATACTGAAAACCATCTATCAAATAATCCTTCCACGTTTCTGAGCATGCTACCAAGAGCACTTAGAAAGGTTATATTCCAAATATTTTAGCCCTTTCCCCAAAGGACTACAAACAAAAGCTAGATGAAAAGGGCAGCACTGTCTGCCAGATACCGCCCGCCCTTCATGTTAGCCAAAAAGCCTGTTAAAAGAGGATCTCACATCAAAACACTGGAGCTGCCCAAAGCTGAATTCTGATTCACACAACGGGTTTGGACTAATTTCCAAGAATAATACATGTTTTCCTTGATTCTCTTAAGGATTTAATAGGACCCACAGATCGCTTTAATTTTAGCTGTCACAAGTATAACCCATTTCACATATATATGGTTGTTACCCCCGATGTTAAAACACAAATCAGGAACAGAGGCAGAGGAGTGATCTACCAGAATTTTGCAACGAGATTAATTTTCAATCACTACAAACTTTCACATCTGTACCACCCAGTAAGAAGGAATATGTCTTGCTAGCTGCCACACACTCTAGTGACCTGTTCAGACTGCGGTTACCTTCCTGGCAATGAAGTCCAAGGCTGCTGTATACTATTTTTGTAAATGACTTTTGTACACTACCAGACTAATTCCTGACAAGGGATGAAGGAGCAGACTGCAAGACCTATCTGGACTTTACTCTTTTTACCATAAATTGAAGCATCTCTTTGTGAACAGAGAAAATTTCTTAAAAGGAATTAAGAGCATAGCTCCTCTCAGAAAATGGGAGAAACCATGGTCTATATCAACCTGATTTTCTGCTGACACTACTACAAATAGTTACCTTTCACTCTTAATGACTGCCATTAAAAGAAAACAAATGAATTTGGATGTAACTATCAGAAAGTCTCCACCAGCACCATGGTTTCACTTAAGGCCAGTGAGACATGGCCTACACTCACACTTTCTGTTGGCATAGCTATCTTAGGGATGCAGAAGGAAAAGACTACACTTGAAAGCAACATAACTAAAAAGGCAAAAAAATGAACAATAGACATACAATACAATTACACTAGTACAAGTCTTGTATTCACATATTTTTTTCCACTTAGGGAACTAATTTAAATGTTACTGAAGTCAACATTTTGCTGATGAATGTTTTATCTTCATTCCGAGGAGGAATAGGTGAAGAATACACCATTTACACAACTTCATCAGCAAACCCTTACAAAGGTAAGAAAAGGTTTGAAGTTGGTCCAGGTTTAAGTATGTAGTAAGAATTGCCTATTAATGAATTTTCTCTTACTAAATATTAGTATTTCTTCCTATTTAATGAAACCTATGATATTCTTACAGGCTTCTTTTCACCCATATCTTCCTCAAGCACAAGGGTATTCACATATTTGAATGTGTGCTTTAGGCCTAAGTGATTATTTCTTAATCAGATTTTATTCTCCACAACTTTTAGAACCACAACCTGGTTGTGTTCACTTTAAAAAAAAAAGTGTATCACTTTTAAATTTCTTTCCTCATTTTCTCCATGCTGTTTATTCTTTCTTTTTCTCTATACACTTAATTGTCCTTGCTACTCCTACCACATAATCACTTCTACACAGCACTTTCTTGTGTTGTCACTGGGGTTTACATCTCCATCTAACTCTGTCTCACTAACTTCCTGACCTGAGCCCTGAGTTGTAGTTCAGAACTGTTATCTTTGTGCCTCAAATCAAAACTTATTGTATAAAACATGGTTCCTGTCTCGTAGCCTCAAGTTCTTACATAATTAGCAATATATTTTCTTGCATGTGATTTTCCCCAAAAATATCTGCATTGATTGCATACTGCCATAGGAATTTCTAAGTGCAGAGGATAATTATGATTTCATGTAATGCTGCCTGTTAATCTTTGACAGATGTTAGCTTTAGAACACCAATGAAACTGCATTCTGCCTTTTGGAGTCCTTACAGCTTCTCTTCAAGTATTTATTTCTTCCCTCTTATCCTTTCCAAATTATTATTCACTAAACTCCTTAAAACTGGAAGGTTTCCTTTTTCTTCCCTAGCAAGAACTTTCTCACTCCATTCTCCTTGAAATATTTCCTGAGTACTTTTTTTCCCCCAGAAATTCATCCTATTCTGCCCTTACACATAAATTATATAACCTCCTCTTTACGAACTCCTGACATGCATCCTCTCTTTCTTCCATCCAAGCTGGGGGTGAATGGATTAAGAGCAGCCAGGCCAAGAAGAACTTGGGGATGCTGGGGGTGAGAGGTTGGACATGAGCTAGCAAGGAGAACTTACAGCCCAGAATCCAAATATGTCCTGGGCTGCATCCAAAGCAGCGTGGGCAGCAGTGCCAGGGGGAGGATTGTGCCCCTCTGCTCTGCTCTGGTGAGATCCCACCTGCAGTGCTGCATCCAATTCTAGGGTCCCCAGAATACCAGAAGGATGTGGTTGTGTAGGAGTAGGTCCAGAGCAAGGTCACCAAGATCAGAGGGCTGGAGCACCTGCCCTATTAGGAAAGGTGAGAGAATTGGGATTGCTCAGTCTGGAAAACAGAAGGCTTAGGGGAGATATTATAGCAGGTTTTCAGAATTTTGTGGGGGCTTATAAGAAAGATGGGGACAAACTATTTAGAGAAGTCTATGGTGAAGGGACAAGGGGCAATGGTTTTAAACTACAGGAGGGTTGATCTAGATTAGATGTGAGAAATAAGTGTTTTCATGGTGAGGGTGGTGAAACACTGGAATGGGTTGCCCCATTCAAGGTAAGGCTGGACAGGGCTCTTAAAAACCTGACCTACTTGAAGGTGTTGCTGCTTATTGTAGGGGAGCTGGACTAGATAACATTTAAATGTCCCTTCCAACTCAAACTATTCTATGATTCTGTGAAAAACATGCATGTTTAAGTGTTACTAGTCATCCACTGCTGCATACTCTTCCAAATGCAATATTTTGTATAGTCTGTTTTTCAGAGACTTGCCCAACCTAGTTTTCAATCTTTTCATAGTTCAGATTTTCACTGGATCTTGCTTAGCTGATTATACAACAGATCCTGATGTTACTAGCAAAGAGACAGAGCTTAAAACCTATGTCACTGTTGGCATGATTTTTTCCAGCAATGAGTTCAGAAATGTCAAATGCATACAATATTGAATTATACTGACACATCCTAACAGTCTGCTGTCTGTAAGAAGTCATCTCAGATTGTCACATTTCAGAAGCAATAATTTCAGGAAAAAAAAAGAAATATTTTCTTTTTTATTTTTAAATATTTCTGGGCCTATTTCTATTCTTAATTTCTTCTTTTCTGTAAGTGTTTGTAAAACATGTTCTAACACTATAACCTATTTTTACCAAATATCTGTGAGTTTTCAAAAAGTCTTGGATTATGTTAAATTCCTGCACTGTGACATAACAAATGGCAAATAACCATCCCATAAATAAAACATAGAGACTTAAAAAACCCCCTCCCTGCTCCAAATGATTAAGAACTATTCTTTATCTCACCCACAAATTCCTCCATATATCCACAACATACTAGTGTTCATTTATAGAAAAGTATATTTTCTAAGCATTTGATGTGAAACTAGCACATGCCAAATGACATAAACTGTGCTTTACAGATTTCTGCTATTTTCTATAGAATGAGTTGAGGATAAGTTTTTATGCCCTCTGTCCCACAGAACCCGTTAATGGTCTCAACAACAACCAAAAATTTTCACTTCCCTCTTCCCAATTATTACTTGAAAAGTACAAGCCTTCATGAAATTTCCACAGACATAAACCAAACAATAGAAATATTAAAAAATAGTCAATAATAATTGCACCTAAGCGTGTTGAAAGGAAACAGTGCAAAAGCATGGACAACTGGCTCCAATCAGAAGCCAAAACTCAGGATTGAGGACACCTGCAGACTGATAAAATTGCAGCTAAATTGCTTATTTTTTGCCTATTTCAGCTCACATTCAAACCTATGTGATTCATATGTTCTCAGCTGCAGTGACTGTTACAGGTTCTTGCTAACTATGATGGCAGAGCAAAATATAAGAAATATAAAACTGATGCAAATATTTAATACCCTTATACCACTTTTAACTCTGTCCTGGTTCCACTGACAGAGCAATCAGATACTTAAAATTAATTTAATGTTTTAAGAATGAACCTAAGTCTAAGCAAGAAAACAATGAAGGGAAGATGCCCAGTTCAAAGGACCAGCAGCTTTATAAACCCACAAGTAATTTCATTGCATCTATTTAAAGTTTTATTACTTAAATTAAATGTAAGCATTTTATTTGCTTCAATACATTCTATCATATACCTAGTTTACTTGTTTTAATAATTTTGTTGTTATGTGATTCCCATATTGCTTTATAATTTAACTCCAAATTCTGTACTTATGAATGAAAGGTGCATTTAAAGCTACAGAAATGTGCAACTGTAAACTTGCAATTTACATTGTGGTATTCTCTTCAGAAACATATTTTTAATCTGTTCATATAAGTACATGTATCTCCAAGAGAAGAATGAAGCAAGATTCAGGAAGGATGGTTTGATGTCTCCTAACATCATAAATACCCTGATTTCAATTGGTCTGAACACACATTTTCAACTACACTTGTAATTAAACTATGATTATACCTACTATGAATTTAATTACTCAAATCTTCACATATTTTTTCTCAGAAAAAATTAACTTCTGCTTTTTATTTTTTTCTTTAAATTGTCCCTCTGTATGACTTGTGTTCTTCAGTGAGAAGGCAAAGGAAAAATTCAACCAAGCCTTTAATGTTGCATAAAATAGCAAAATGAAGCAAAATATGACAGCTGCTACAAATAGAGCCAACTGAGGAGTAACACAAGTGTTGGTGCTCTGATGGCACCTCCAG